CTGTTTGGGTTACAATTAATGGAATAGGCAATGGGGGATGAAACATAGTTGATGCAACTTATTTCAAGGGATATGAGTTGAAAAAGGAATTACAAGCAAGTTTTGGAATGTCTTTAAAATGGCTTAAAACTGTACAGAAACTAAATTTTCTTTCTTTGACGCTTCCTGTTCATTGCCCTCTTGCTTTCTCCCTCCCCCAGGAACGTGGTCACGGGAGAGCACTACCGCTTCGTCAGCATGTGGATGGGGGGCAGCAACTACCTCGCTGCGGCCTTCGTCATGGTGGTCTTCACCCTGAGCGTGTCAATGCTTACTGCGTTACTTCCCACCAGATCTTCCTCTTCATCGTTGTTGACCTGCTGCAGATGCTGGAGCTCAACGTGGCCATCACCTTCCCTGCCGCCCCCATGCTTACCGTCATCCTCGCGCTTGTCGGTGAGTGACTCGATTGGAGTGTTTGGGATGGGGTTCGAGGGGGTTGTTGGTTGGGTAGAAGAGGCTGGATAGTTTTAGTGGGTGGGTGTGTTAATGATTATTTGGTGGTGAAACAGGGGAAAGGTGCTGAATGAGGAAGGGTTGAAAGCATCTATTCTTGAATTCAAAGGAAGTATTGACCTTTCTTCGCTGAGAAATAGAGAAAAAAGTAAGCAGATTTCCATTGCTACATCAGTAAAAGCCACACAACACGTACATGTGTGTGCGCATGCACACACACACACACACACACACACACACACAACACACACACACACACACACACACACACACAACACACACACACACACACACACACACACACACACACACACCCAAACACGCATGCACACGCACTTGCACACACACACGCACATGCACACACACCATCCCTCCCCTCCCATCTCACCACAACCATCTCTTCCATTATCTCCGTTTCTTTCTCCTTCCCTCAGGCATGGAGGCCATCATGTCGGAGTTCTTCAACGACACTTCGACTGCCTTCTACATCATCGTGCTTGTGTGGGTGTGCGACCAGTATGAGGCCATCTGCTGCCACACACCCATCACCAGGAGGCACTGGCTGCGCTTCTTCTACTTGTATCATTTCGCCTTCTACGCCTACCATTATCGCTTCAATGGACAAGTAAGTGTTTTTTTAGCTTTGTTTTTCTTGTTCTTGTCTCCTCCTCCTCCTCCTCTTCTTCCTCCTTCTCCTCTTCTTCCTACTTCTCTTCGTCTTCTTCTTCCTACTTCTCTTCTTCCTCCTCCTCCTCCTCCTCCTCCTCCTCCTCGTCCTCCTCCTCCTCCTCCTCCTCCTCCTCCTCCTCCTCCTCCTCCTCCTCCTCCTCCTCCTCCTCCTCCTCCTCCTCCTCCTCCTCCTCCTCCTCCTCCTCCTCCCTTTTCTTCTTATCTATAATGGGAAAGTCTCCATTGAACTTCATTTAGTTGAATGTGAAAAATATTTTTTAAAAATATATTATCATAAAATTGTTTTATTTATTATTTTACGTAATAACTTTCTTTTTTTCCCTATACCTTGCAGTATTCTTGGCTGGCGCTTATGACTTCGTGGCTCTTCATACTGGTAAGAAAAGTTGCTAGTATGTTTAGTTTGGGCAGGTGGTATAGTTTTCACCTGTTGTACTTATTGTTAATTGCTGGTTATATGATTTTCTTGAAGTAAGATTTAGAACTTGTAGAATGAGGTCGATGGAATTCATGATTTAGGTTCATAGTCAAAAGCTTGAGCGCCATTTGCCTTCGTGTCTTGCGGGGAAGTGTTCTGGCTGTCACGTCTGCGTCCCTAACCCCCTCTCCCCCTCCCCCCCGCAGCACTCCATGCTCTACTTCTTCCACCACTACGAGCTGCCGGCCATCCTGCAGCACGCGCAGATCCAGCAGCTGGGGCGCGTGCACACCGTCAACATCGTGCTGCGCAACGTCCTCACCAACAACAACAACAACAACAACGCTGCGGGCGCCAACAACCCCGGCGACGGCGGAGGCGGGGAGAACGCCGCCGGCGCCGCCACCCGCGACGCCGGCGGCCAGGCGCGGCCCGGCGCGGCCGCTGCCAACCGGGGCGCGCGGAACGAGGGCGCCGCCGCCCGCCCCAACGCCTCGCCGGTCGTCAACCTGGTGTTCCGCAACATCACGGGCGCCGTCGCCAACAGGAACGGCAACCCGCCCTTCAGCTTCGTCTTCAGGAACGTCAGGAACATCGTACAGAACCTGCACCAGAACACGGCAGCGGCGACGGCGGCGGCTACGGCGGCGGCGGAGACGAGCGCATCGACGACGACCACGACCGCCACGCCCTCCTCCTCTCCCTCCTCCTCCGCCGCTGGCGCGTCCACGAGCACCTCCACGTCGGGGGCGGCTCCCCGCGCCGCCGCCGCCCCCTCGCCGGGCACGGGCGGCCTGGGCGGCGCCCCGAGAGTCACATTCCAGGTGACGACGTCGGGCGGCACCTCCGCCGTGAACGCCTTCTCCCTGTCGTCGCTGCTGTTCCGCAACGCCAGCGCCGCCGCCGCCGCGACCGCGCCCAGCGGCCCCGCGGCTGCCCCGGCCAGCCCCCCGTCCGGCGCCGCGGCGGAGGCCCCGGCGGCGGGCGCGTCTTCGAGGGGCGCCGACGTCAGCAGCGAGCATAAGGATGGCGCGCGCCGAAGCCGCGTACAGCCCAGTGCTGGTGGAGGGCGCGGGCGGCGGGGCCGCGGCGGTCCCGACAGCGGCGGGGCGACGAAGGCGGCGGCGACGGGCGTCGCGTACGACCCCGCAGAGGCGGCCGCCCCCGCCGTCAGACTCGCAGGAGCGCATTGTGATAGCCCCGCGGGGGGCGTCCCCCCGACGGAGTCCCTATAGCGGCGCGCCCCCAGGCGGAGCGGCGGGCGGCGCGGGCGGGCCCTGGAGCGGCGGCGCCCCGCCCGCGAGACGCCCTTCCGACGGCGCGACCCGGCGGCGGCGCGCGGGCGCGGAGGACACCGGATAGGGGCGGCGGAGATTATTAATCTTAATAGCACTTCCTTTTTTCCTTTTTTGATGTTTTATGTTTCGAAGAAGAAAAAATATATAAACATATATACATATAAATATACCGTATTTAAAGAAAAGAAGTAATTTGCATATATTGGCTTAGGCATTATTTAGTTTATCTTACATATTTAAGGTGTAAACTGTTTTGTTACTGTTACAGATGTCTCAATGTAATGGTGTTGGTTTTATTTTTTTCATATGCATTACATCGTATTTTTTTTATTATGTCTTCGCTCATTTATATTTATGGAATGAATAAAATATTTATATACTTATTAAAGTCCCATGTAGTGAGCAACCATGTTTCATATTTTTCCACAAGCATCCACAAGGGGGGGGGGTCACGAGGAAGGGAGAGGCAACGCGTGAACAAAAACGGGATTTGTTCCTCTCTCTGCCCCGAAAAGAACACAATTTTCAAGTACATTCACAAGGTTTTATTGGGCATTTTTTTTTTAAGAGGTCTGTTCCAGAACGGAGAACAAAAAAAGAAAAAAAAAATGGATGGAAATTGATTTGTTTGTGTTTGCGAAAGGGACGCTCAAAGAGAGGCAGAGGTTTCTGTTTGTGTGTCTTTTTCTCAGTGTTTCTCTCTCTCTTCTCTCTCTCTCTCCTCTATTTGGCATTATTCCGCGTTTAAAGTGAAAAAAGTAATACCATTAGAATTTTTGTTACATGATTGTATTTTAGCCATTGAAGTGCCTCTTAGAAAGTTCTTAAATTACATTAGATCATAAAGATGAGAATTAAATCTGTGTACAGTTCTTGGGGTATTGTTGTGAAGCAGTAAAGAATAATTACGTACTTAGGAGAAGTTTAAAGTGTATGATTAATCTGATAATGGTGTGAATGTGGTTCGAATTTTTTTTTGCTCAAAAGTTATTTTTTACGATGATATTTTTTCGTTTTTTTGTTCAAACTAAGATGTTTTTGCAATAAGTAAAGCAGAAAAAGCAACAACTATTTTTTAAAAGTTTGTTTATGTTGACGTATTTCCTTGTTTTGTTTTTGATATTTAGTGAATTTTATCAAGAGAAGTAAAACATGACTCCTATTTCAGGTGAAACAAATTATAGTTTATATATATATATGTATGAGAAGTGGAATGAAGTCAGAATGATCTTATTGTTGTGTTTATATATTTCATTCCTTTTTTCTATTATTTTTGGTTTCCATTTTAACAGACTTCCATGCTTTAACTTGTACAAAGCAATAAGAATAGAAAAAAAAACCGGAAAATGTGAAGGTACGACGCTAAACCCTATGATTTGATTAATTCAAAAGTGTTTGAAATTTGATATCAGGTTGCTGTTGGTAAAGGAAAAAAATGTTAATGAAAATCGACTGACTACTTAAATTAAGTTATTGTTATTTCTTTTATTATTAATTACGTTTATAATCAGAATGCCTGTTTATAAATTTCTTTGTGATGTATAGACACGTTCTGCACAAGAACAAACAAAAATAGATACTGGAAAAACAAAAATTAATAGATATCTTTGTGACTTTATTTCTCTTCTACCAAGAAATAATTTCAGTGTCGGGAACACAACATGAAATATTTATTGTGTAGAGTTTCGGGTATAATCACATACGCTTTATTTCTGAGAACAAATACAAGTTTATTTGTAGAAATAGAAACCACTTTTGTGGTGAAATGTAGAGCTTATTTTTTCAAAGAAATTATAACCTAGAGTTTTGCGGGTTTTGATTCGGACGTTTAGTTATTATTTCAAAATATCAGCCAACTTTCAATATTTCTTCTAGAAGACCAGAACACAAGATTAAAAAAATGCTAACTTTGAATAAAAACGGGCAATTGTTAGCTCTCCGTGAGGCTACAGACGTAGAAAAAAACTGTGCTTATTTATATATATATATATATATATATATATATATATATATATATATATATATATATATATATATATATATATAATGTTTAGCGTTTTATCGGCTACCAGTAGCAAGAAAATTTGTTTGTGCGCCTGCATATTTTAGTTAATATATTTTTTGTGGTCAAGTTTCTTAAATGTTTTTTAGTATTGTAAATATTATAGTGTGAGAATTATTTTTGTTACAATTATCAAATTTTCCCATTTTCCTAAGCTCTGCTTTAAAACTTACTATTATAAAGATATCACCACATCGTTTTATGATTTCTTAAACGTTCCAAAACCGTCTTACATTTTCTACGAGGGACACGAGCGCAAAGCATTATTGATATTTTGTATCTATATTTTGAGTTAAGTCTTCTTATATGTTTGAGTAAGGGTTACGGTACGCAAAGTATTTAACAGTTGTTTTAACTTAACTTGAAATGAGAAAATGCCAGGTAATGGTTTGATGACTTTTTTTTTAAATCGATTAAATTATTTCTGAAAGTCAACTGTTGTAAGGAGTGACTGATCGAATTTGTTATCTATTAAAGAAGTGATAGATAATAGATGCAATAGAAAAGAACACGTTTTTTTGTATATGTTTTTTGTTCCTACAAATGCTTAATGCAATACAGGTATATTATGAATGATTGTAACTGCATTTTTATATATCCTTTTTTACTTTGAGGAGAAACCGAGTAGATATTTTTATCAGCTGCAAAATATAGTTAGAATTATATAGAAAGAGGAGTATAATAACACGCACGCACGCACGCACACGCACGCACGCACACGCACGCACACACACGCACGCACACGCACGCACGCACGCACACGCACGCACGCACACGCACGCACGCACACACACGCACGCACACACATACGCGCACACACAAACGCGCGCACACACACACACGCGCACACACACACACGCGCACACACTCAAACACACACACACCACACACACACCACACACGCGCGCGCGCGCGCGCACCACACACACACACACACACACACACACACACACGCGCGAGCGCGCGCACACACACACCACACACACACACACACACACACCACACACAACACACACACACACACACACACACACACACCACACGCACACGCACACGCACACGCACACGCACACACACGCGCACGCACACATGTATTCACGGCATAGAAGAGCGAGAGAGAATTTCACACTGCAAAAAATCGCGGACCACATTGAATCTTATTTTATACTTGTTTTTTACATCGTGTTTAAAATACAATTATTAGCTTTTAATGAAAGAACAAGGGAATACAGGGCAAAGCAGATCAGTAAACAGTCTTCTTCTACAGTAAGTGCATTTATTAATCCAATGAAAAAATACAAGGAAAATTGTTTAATTAATAATAGCGATTCCCAAACAGGAATTAATATATATGGGTATTCTATTTTACCTCCAAAAAAGTTAGGAATAATTTTTTTGTCTGTTTTGTGCATGCATGGACTTATGTATTTTGGAATTTTATTTCATTACATTATATTAATTTTATGTATGATATATGCTGTGAGGGACTTATTGCGGTGAGGGGGAGGGAGCGTGTTGATAGATAGTGCGATAGAGCAAAAAATGCGAGGTTAGGGTGCCAGTTTGAAAAAGGAATAGATAAGTAATTAAACAAAAACTATTACCATTGCTTTGTCGGTGTTTTTGTAAAATTTTGGGGGCATTTCTCGTCGAGGTCGACTGACTGACTGACTGACTGAAAGATGCTGGTAAATTTCTCGTAAGTATTAGTAACACTGAGCAAATTGCATGCAAGAATATTCAATACACAATGACACACAAGTCAAATTCTATATATGGAAAACAATATTTTTATGTTGCATCAAATTTGATTTATATAATGACACGTTTTTTTATAACTGATTATTAACTCTTAAATATATTTGACTTGTAAACTTCTTAAGTTTTAGATATTCGTAAATGGAAGTTACTTGAATTTGTCTATTATTTCGTTTTCTTAATTGATTGACTGTCTTTTATAATTTATTTTCAGTTGTTTTTTATTGTTCAATTGACTTTTTTTAATGCTTCGCTTGGGATTAGAGAGAAAGGGTGCGTGTGAAAGGGAATTAAGAGAGAAAAACAGAAAGAGGGGGAAGAGAAAAGAAAAAAAAGAGAATCAGACAGGCAGAAATAGAGAGAGAGAGCGAGTAGAGAGAGAGAGAGAGAGAGTGAGAGAAGAGAAGAGAGAGAGAGAGTGAGAGTGAGTGAGTGAGTGAGTGGGTGGGTGGGTGGGTGGGTGGGTGAGTGAGTGAGTGAGGTGAGTGAGTGAGTGGGTGGGTGGGTGGGTGTGGTGGGTGGGTGGGTGGGTGGGTGGTGGGTGGTGGGTGGGGTGGGTGGGTGAGTGAGTGAGTGAGTGAGTGAGTGAGTGAGTGAGTGAGTGAGAGTGAGTGAGTGAGTGAGTGAGTGAGTGAGTGAGTGAGTGAGTGTGTGAGTGTGAGTGTGAGTGTGAGTGTGAGTGTGAGTGTGAGTGTGAGAGTGGAGAGTGAGAGTGAGAGTGAGAGTGAGAGTGAGAGTGAGAGTGAGAGTGAGAGTGAGAGTGAGAGTGAGAGTGAGAGTGAGAGTGAGAGTGAGAGTGAGAGTGAGAGTGAGAGTGAGAGTGAGAGTGAGAGTGAGAGTGAGAGTGAAGTGAGAGTGAGAGTGAGAGTGAGAGTGAGAGTGAGAGTGAGAGTGAGAGTGAGAGTGAGAGAGAGTGAGAGAAAGGCAAAGACAAGATATTTAAGCAGAGACACGAGTTAAAGACAGAAAACAGAGAAAACGTTGGAAACATAGACAAAGACCAGGATCGAGTTGATGAAAGAGAAAGGAAGAGAGAACGCAAAAAAAAGAAAGAAAGAAAAAAGGGTCCATAACTTTTTGAGTTGCATTTGCAAAAAGGTAACTCATGCAATCATTA